GGTCTGATGAAGAGTTGCTGAAAACAATTGTTTGCCATAAACTGACTTCTGAAAAATTTTTTGTTCTCGATTTTACTACTATTTGACTGTTTTCGTCTAGTTAGGAAAGTTTTTCGTCAGTATGGTAACTCTTTTTGGAATATTTTATTTTATTTTTTGGTCTTACTTTCGCCTTTAAAATTCTTATCTGCAGGGGACACAGGTAAGCCATTTACATTCTAAGCGGAAGAATACATAAGCTGCTGAGCAAACATACTGCACTATTCGTTAATTTCACAGCTCAGTCATTTCACATCAATTTGCTCGGATTAACATGAAACTCTTTAAATGCCACAACCGGCGGCATTAATTCTTATGATAATCTGTACATATAAAATGCGAGTTGAACTCCTGACTTCTGCATCATGGGACATATTTATACCATACGTGCTCAGGACATAGTAGTTTAATTTGGCTAAAACTCAATTTCGCTTATCAGAAAATATTGGAAACTGAAGTAGTTTTATAACTTCGCCTAAGTATATTTTACTGCCTTAATTTAAATTAAAGAAATTAGAAGAATACCAAAGAACCAATAAGCAGTTAGGACAACGAGTGAATAGACATTAAAGTGTCAATTATAAATGGCTAGGTAACCAACACGCCTAGCTAGGCCTTTTCTCCTTTGTTCGTTTAAAACGTACCCCAAATATCAACCTGTTTTTTTATTTGTTAGTTCTGGTTGATAGAAGTTGTTAACTGCCTCCATCGATTCAGCAGGTGAAGCCAAAAATATTAGTTTTCTTCCTTTGTTCCCCTATTTCATTAAGTGACAGCCACTGGAGGCGCAGTTTAAATTTCAACGACCAATCTTTCGTCAGGAATAATTCTGAACCTCTATACCTATTACCATCGGCGAACACATTTGTAAGTTTGTGTGATCTTAAGCTATGTAAGCTCGTTTTTTATCACAAGAACTAGGCAGCATAATATAAACCTAAAACTGCAACCTAAACAATTCAGTCTGCCATAAAAACGGATTTGTTAAAACAGCATGTGTGCAGTCTTGAACATTATCAGCTCTCATGAACGTGTATGTCCTCTAGCGTTGTACTGGTTGTTAATGTCTAAGACTGCTGATTGGAAAAAAGTTTTTACCTCTGGTTTTTTCCAAGTTTTTTGGCCTCAAAGTCACAGAAGGTCACTCGTGGGAAATTTCCTGATGTGTACCACTGTGTGCCTTGAATGAGATCCAACAACACTCGAATGCCGTAAAAGGCATGATTTGTTGCAATGAACTTTTCCATGAGCACAAGCTGCCCAATAATGTTGATCAGATAAAGTACCTTGACAAAGAAGTAGAGGACAACCAGGAAGTTTCCACTGCGTTTGCCGCAGCACCATGCTTTTGAGTGGGATTTCTTGAAGCAACCCTTGCTGTCTGAGCTCTTGCCAATACCACTGGCGGGATCTCCAAGATCACAAGACACCGAGAGCACGCCGGCCAGACCCGGGCTGCCCGTGATAGGGTTCAGCTGCGACTTTCTTGCCTGCTTTCCTAGCAGAGTGGAACGAGAGCCGCTGCGAAAACCAAATTTCAGTCTCTCGCAGAGGGAATGTCGCTGCTTGTGACGCCTTGAGAGACTGAGACAGCCTGTAGCCTCCCCATTACTTCGCATAACGCGTCTGCGGTGCGATGACCTCGATGGCGGGGCACGAGGTTCTGGCGTGCCGCCCTCGGTTGTCGACTTGTAGTATTGAGGTGGAGGTAGACCATGATCCGGACGTTCGCTCGTCCCAAGCAGTTGTGTCTCTGTGCCGGCAGCAGAGACAGGAAACTGCTGTAGGCCCATCCGGTAGGAGGAGTGGTAGGGGAAGTTGGTGGACACCAGTCCAGATCGTGCGCTTTTATCATTTCGGCAGCCGTCACGGTTCTTGTAGTCACGTTGTCGGTAAATGCAGCTCTCCATGTAGCGAGCAATAAAACGAACATTTTTCAGCCCATGCTCCGGCAGTAGAATGTTGGAGTCGTTAGCCATCTGCATGATTCTTCGAACATTAAAACCAGAATGACAATAGAAGAGGCGCCAAATAAGGCAGGGTAAGTAGAAGAGGAGGGCTTGAATGGCCATTAAGATGGGAGCCCACTGGTAGTAAACAATGAGATTGGCACTCCGATCGGCGGTAGTAGGTAGTCGCTTGTCAAGGGGTGAAAAGTATGTGCTTGCGACCCAGCAATAGTTTTCAGCGTATTCTTCCCAGCCACGTGTAAACTCCTGAGGTATCCAACATTGAATTGGCTTGCCTATTTTAAAATATACAGTTCATCAACTTGCCATTGAATTTATTAATATTAGCAGCTAAAACAATATGGTTAAATAGTAAACCTATTAGTTGTGTGGATTGATTACGGTGTAGGATATCTGGAAAAGGGCGCGCAATGACAGGTAGGATAATTTATATTGAAATAACTTATTTTAAGACGGGTATAACAACCGCTTGATCTGTTTGGTACTCTCAATAGAAACGATTTGAAAGAGTGAGTAAAAACGGAAAGTACACAAATAATTACATAAATGGAGCTGCCATCACAGCTGATGTAACTTGTCTTGGCGTCTCCATGAGACACAAAGCAGTAAAGACAGTATTTTATATAATTCCATATTTAATATTGATTGTTTTCATTCTTACGAGGTACTCATTTTTTTCACCTTTTCATATCCTTTTGCGGCTTTCGTTCGCTTCTTTGTAAATAATAGGAATATTTTAAGGAAAAAAGCAGTCTAAATCACTTTAATTAAGGTACTTTTTATTATACTGGACTTCTAAAGGTGATCTCAATTTTTTCCAGAATAAGGTTTACATAAGTATAACCCGTAGGACAGACGGAGCTCTCTGACAGACTTCAAATTGGTGGTTTGAAATAAACAGATGCAAATGCGCACTTTATACAATAACAGAACATATAATTTCTTAAAGTATTTTTGTAACATTGTTGTTGTAAACTTTACCAAGTTCGGTATGTTAGTGAAAACAGTCTTCTAAAAGTGCAATTTTTTAGGAAATTGATGGCTGGGTGAGGGTTTAATAGTATTACAATTAGCAGATGCATTAAAGCCTGCTCGCCGTCCAATGATTTCTGCTTCTTCAGTTATCCTTCTGGGATACAATACGATTTATTAAAATGTTTATAAGTTTGCAACTAACTTTCGAAATCAACATAAAATCTTTATAAATTAGGTAGATACACATTTGTAAATATTTTTTAAGCTCATCTGTATCTGCACTTAACAAGACTAGGTTTTGACATGAAATAAGTTATCAAAAACCTTTTCACTCACTGTGGCAAACGTTAAGAGAATTCCCGTTTTAGTAAAAGAAATAACTACAGTAGGTGGCCAAACTCATGCAATCCTACGATTTTTACAAGTATCTTCCTCTTACTCAAACGCAGGCCAAGCTGTGGCCCCCAAAGTCTTACAGCAATAGAGTTATGATCGTTCTTCA